TTTTCATCCCTTTGGTCTGCAAAGTTTTGTTGTAGGACCGTTTTTAAAGCAAACCAACTATTTATTTCACGAGAACTTGTTACTAGTTTCGCTTGACCTATTAATTTTGTTTTTATCGACGTTAGTAGAAATTTATTTATGAATGCTTCTGCATTTGGATCAGAAAATGTATTCACTAAGAGATCGCAGGCGGAAATAAAATCTGCTAACTCTGATGGTTCGCCGTTAAATTGTGGAATGATTTTTAAATATTCTGAYTGGAAAGGCTGCGCCATTCTTTCTCTATGATTAAATTCGTCAATTATTAAATTTTTGATTAAATTTTCGAGTTCCTCAATTTCTGAGTCTGAGTCTGGTAGAATTAAGGAATCGGTCATATACTTAAGGAAACGAGTATTACTTACAGTTTAAAACAAATCTTCATTGGGTCTCCAGGGAACGAAAGAATCCGGCGATTTTTGTCCACTGATTCCTAGGTTCCAGGAATTGAGATTGCGACYTCCGGCGATTTTTGTCCAGAAATGCTCCAATCTTCAAGGTACAGGAATTAGGAGAGTTCGGCGATGCTTGTCCGAAAACTCGAAATTCTTCAATAAATTCTTCAATAAAAATCTTCAATAAAAAATCTTCAATGTAAAATCTTCAATATATTCTTCTTCAAAGTATTCGTAGTATTTAAAATTCTTCAATTATTTTCAATTATTCTTCAACTCTTCAGATTCTTGATATTTCGGCGTTGAGTGGCTCGAAAATATCCAAGAATTGTTCTTCCACAACTAAGTATTAAAATACAAGGATGTCCTCTTGGAAAGATCCTTTGTGGATTCCTTTGTGATTATCCTTTGTGATATCCTACTGACTGCGCCAGTTAAAGTGGGAGCGTTAACAACTCGATTTTTAAAAAATTATTTTATTTCACTCAAAATTATTATTACACTTATTTTAATTATTTAAATTATTATTTCACTTTACAATTATTTCACTAACTTCACAAATAACTTATTTTTACAATAATGAATGGCTTGAACTCGAACTAGACTTATTTCAGACTAACTGTTTACACCAGACATATAATTCAGACTTATACCAGACTTGTATTCAGACTAAAACGCATCTTTCCTATCCTGAATTTATAATATAAATTAATGCAACGGTTGCAAGGTTTTTGATGATGGTAAAGCGCGTGATGATTACGTTTCCTTATGGAAGCTTCTAGTTGATCCATAGGCACGTGGATGGAGATATCATAACACGTGACATTTGTTTTTTGACATTTGACATTTTTTTATGTCTATTTAATAATACTGATGATTTTGTATATGTTTTTTTACAATTATTTAGTAAAGGTACAAAACTTTTGCCAATAAAAGCCACAAATAACATTGAACAGAGTTACAATTTAGTATACAGCTTTCTTGTTTCCGCTTCTAATAGCCTTAGCAAAAAAAAACTTGGAAATTTATTTTTCCTATAGAAATAAATAGAGTCAAAGTGCAAAATTTAAACTCTCATAACTTTGAAATTTTTATAGATAGATTTTTTTTTTAATTTTTTCTATGTTTGTGGTACCTTACCCTACATGGCATTTGTCTTTGAGACAGAAGTTCTGGCGCACTCTGTATGTGCATATCATGTAGAATGCGACTCCTTCAACTTTTAGAATCGCGATATCTCAGGAATGGTGATTCTTAGAAAAAAAGTATAAGGACCATTTTTGTAGATAATTTCAAGATCTATAATTTTTGTCTGGGCTACTTTTTTGATAAAACTTACCGTTTTCGAAAAAAATGTAAAAAACGTCAAATTTTTAACTTTGACCACGAATAACTTTTTTAGCACACATAGGATCGATGGGGACTTTTGACACTTTATTCTTAATAGTGTACCCAAGATCTCCACCAAAATTTAGCTCTGTCGGAATTTTAGTTATTTGAAATGTCTATTTTGACCGGACTATAAGTATCAAAAAATGCTTTGTAAGTGAGCTACACCGCTGAAAGAGATGCCTTTTTTAATGTTTTCCCACTATTGAACAATAGATAAAATTACAAAAGTTGGTACAGCTGAACACCTGAACGAATTTAAAGATCAGTTGTCAAAATTTTTAATCAAGGGCGCGGACGTCTTAAACGGTAAAACGAATTTAATTGTTACGAGTAATTTTTATCTTCTTTATGGACTGTAAGGCAACTTGTAAACTGATTTTACTTAAAAACGGTAAGTTGTATCGAAAAAAAACGCAAGAGACCTTTTTTTATGAAAAACTATGGAATTTAGAATTTTGTGGCTGAAAGTGGCAAGAACCAACAGCCAAAATAGTTAGCGTACTATTTACCCTAAACCCTCCCAGTTTAGAACGCTCCTGAGTAAAAATTTATTTTATCTTTGAATTTGTTTGGGTGTATAAGGGTTATCAGTTATACCAGATTTTGTAATTTTATCTACAATGGTTTCTGACATATTGACACTCTTTTCAGGGGATGTAGCTCCCTTATAAAATATTCTTTATCTCAGCCTCGGTCTTCTGTAGCTCAGTTATTATTTAAGTAGGAATTTTGATAGGGGATAATAATAAATCAAAATCTTTCTCAATCTTTTTTCTTTTATTGGGAACGACCTGTTTCGGCTTCGGGTTCTAAAGAAGCGTATATAATATACATACAAATTAGTTAAACGAAAGTTAAAATTCAATTAAGTGAGCTTACCCAACAAGATTTGTCAGTTTTAAAAGGATTATTAGAAGACATAAACACTTTAAAATCAAAAATTAATTTTTTAAATTAAATTGTCTAATTTGATTAATTTTTAATTTTAAAGTGTTTGTTATGTCTTCTAATTTCTAATAATGCTTTTAAAATTCACAAATCTTGTTAATAGTATTGGGTAAGCTCACTTAATTGAATTTTAACTTTCGTTTAACTAATTTGTATGTATATACGCTTCTTTAGAACCAGAAGATGGCCTAAAGCCGAAACCGGTCGTTCTCAATAAAAAAAAAGCCTGAGAAAGATTTTCATTTATTATTATCCCCTATTATAATAAGACTCAGGAACATGGTCATAACCAACAATTATAAGGAATTTTGATATTTTGTAAACTTTATTTATATTGTAAGGCGCATTTCAGGAAAATATTTTTGGTTATACCGGATGACCCAAAAATAAGTTGGAGCGGAGCGGAAGACAGATGGAGTAGGCCATGGGTATATCAAGGCCATCTGAATCAACAAGCTGCGCTTATAAGGCCGTTTCAATTTTCGATTTTTCCATATAAACTTTGTTTCTGTGATATTTCAGGAGTCAGTACCTTATTTGGCTCCATCTACCGATTTCGATCGCAGTCGATTGAGACTTTTTAGACTTTTTATTTTTAGGTTAAGTGCTTAAATCAATCAATGAATCATCAATTAAAACATGAATGCTATAAAATATCCAAGATCCGAGCTTATTTTAGGTACATTCTGGACTAGCAAAATACTAATAAATTAGATTTGCAAAAAAACATGAAATCATAACACAAGGTAGGTTGAGAACAATTTATAAATTTAATATTTTTCTACAAAGTGGTTTGTTCTGGATTGCACATTTTTTCTTTAATAAATAAATAAT